ACTCTGCAGAAGACAGTGCTGCTATCTCACCCAGAGATGGCCAGAATAATCCGCCTTGTAGTTCTAGCACCAGAGGTACTTCAGGGAAAGAATCGGATTCTGCTGAATTTAAAAGTGGTAGTTCTTTTGGTTCAAGAGGTGCAATGTCCTTTGCTGCTGCTGCTGCTGCTGCTATGACTGGACTTGGATCTGCTAATAGTAGAGGTGAAAGATACAGAGATCGGCACGGGCGATCACTTTTTGGGTCTAGCGATCCGCCAAGACTAATATTTACGGCAGGCGGGAAGCAGCTTAATAGGCATTTGACTATTTATCAAGCAATCCAACGACAACTTGTGCTGGAAGATGATGATGATGAGAGGTCTGATGGCAATGATTTTGTGTCGAGCGACGGTAGTAGGCTCTGGAGCGATATTTACACCATCATGTATCAAAGAGCAGATAGCCAAGCTGATAAGTCTTCAGTTGGGGCTGAGAACTCAGCAACTCCATCCAAGTCTACAAAAGCTGGTTTATCGAGTATATCCAATTCATATTCATTGCAACATCATGTCTCACTTTTAGATAGCATTTTGCAAGGGGAGCTTCCATGTGGTTTGGAAAAAAGTAATCCTATTTATGATATATTGGCACTATTACGTGTACTGGAGGGGTTGAATCAGCTTGCACCGCGCTTGCGGCTACAGGGGGCGGTTGATAATTTCGCTGAAGGAAAAATTGCAAGTCTAGATGAACTTACTGCCATCGGTGTCAAAGTTCCTCCTGAGAAATTCAACAATAGCAAACTTACTCCAAAATTGGCTAGACAGATCCAGGATGCATTAGCACTTTGCAGTGGGTCTCTTCCTTCATGGTGCTACCAGCTGACTAAAGCTTGCCCATTTTTGTTTCCCTTTGAAACCCGGCGCCAATATTTTTATTCAACTGCTTTTGGACTGTCTCGTGCATTGTATCGGCTTCAGCAGCAGCAAGGTGCTGATGGTCATGGTTCAACAAATGAAAGAGAGGTAAGGTTTGGGAGATTACAACGTCAGAAAGTTCGCGTGTCTCGGAATCGCATATTGGATTCTGCTGCAAAAGTTATGGAAATGTATTCCAGTCAAAAAGCTGTTCTCGAGGTTGAATATTTTGGTGAAGTTGGCACTGGATTGGGTCCTACTCTGGAGTTCTACACTCTGTTGAGTCACGACCTTCAAAAAGTAGGACTAGGAATGTGGAGATTAAGTTCTCCATCGTTTAGACCTTCGATGGAAGTAGATGTGGACAGACAGACAGATGGGAAAGTCGGGGGTGAGAGAGATATTATCCAATCACCTCTTGGGTTATTTCCACGTCCGTGGCCACCCTGTGCTGATACTTCTGATGGTAGCCAATTTTCTAAAGTTCTTGAATATTTCCGGTTGCTCGGTCGTGTTATGGCAAAAGCTCTCCAAGATGGAAGGCTTTTGGATTTGCCTCTATCAGTTGCCTTTAATAAGCTCGTTCTTGGTCAAGTAAGTCCATGTTGCAATTGTTAAGAGGCATTATATAGTCCTGTAGGTTGATTTAATTAACAATTCATATTCTATTAATTTCTGCAGGAGCTGGATTTGCATGATATCATTTCTTTTGATGCTGAACTTGGGAATACCCTGCAAGAAATGCACGCCATTGTGTGCCGGAAACAGTATTTGGAATCAATGGGTAGTCATAGCCTAGATGATTTACGTTTTCATGGGGCTTCAATTGAAGAGCTTTGTTTAGATTTCACCCTTCCAGGCTATCCTGAATATGTTCTCAAACCAGGCGACAAGAATGTACACCCCTTACCCTTGGATATACTGTCTACTCATGTAGTTATTTCTTTTACTGGTTGCCCTCTGTTTGTGTTATTGTTATCTCCTTAAACTCTTTCTATTCCATTGGAATTTGCAGGTAGACATATGTAGTTTAGAGGATTATATTTCCCTTGTGGTTGATGCAACTGTGGTGACTGGAGTATTACGGCAAATGGAAGCATTCAGATCTGGCTTTAATCAGGTTTGCTTATTTATTTTGTCCAAGCCAACTTTCAATGCGATTCCTTTTTCAGCATATTTCTGTTGTCTGATTGAACAAAAATTCTTCCTCTAATTTACATAGTTTTCCTACTATAGCAGCGCCGTCAGTGCTTCAATGTTTTGTTTCGTAACGTTTGACTGTAATCTCTAATATGTTGATGGAGAAACTTATTTTGAAGCAATGCTTATTATTCCTGATATGCTTGTCTTAATTGTGGCCAGAAGATTTGGCTATGAGCTCTAGTTGGAGGATGGAAAATGATCTTTTCCAAAGTCATGTTCTGATTTCGTGATATGCTCATCTTAGCCGTTAGTAAGAAAAACATCATATTTGTGCTTTATGATTTTCAGGTTTTTGACATTTCAACTCTACAAATATTTTCGCCAACCGAGTTGGACTACCTGCTCTGTGGCCGCAGAGAGTTGTGGAAGGTAATGTCTTGGAATGACACACTATCATTCAGATGCAACTTCAGTTCTGCATTTGCATGGTTAAATATCAATTGTCTTTTTATGTAGGCTGAGACGCTCGTGGATCACATCAAATTTGATCATGGATACACAGCCAAGAGTCCCGCTATTATTTATGTATGTCAATTCTCCATCGTCAACCCTGCCATCTGTTCCCTCCCCCAACAACAAAAAAGGGAAAAAAAGAAAAAAGAATGCTTCTTCCAATTTCTCTCTGGAAAATTTCTCTTAAAATTTCACATTTTCCAATAATGCCTAATCTCATGTCATCAGCTACTTGAGATAATGGGGGAATTCACTCCAGAGCAGCAACAAGCTTTCTGCCAGTTTGTTACCGGTGCTCCCCGGCTTCCACCAGGTGGTCTGGCTGTACTGAATCCCAAGTTGACAATTGTTAGAAAGGTAAAATGCATTAAACCAAATATCAAATGCATCCCATAATAGGTATATGCTATCAATAGTATAACAAAATAAGCATACCTTTGGAACAGCATTCAAGCACAGGCAACACTACACACAATGGTTCTGGTCAATCTGAATCTGCCGATGATGACTTGCCAAGTGTCATGACATGTGCAAATTACTTAAAGCTTCCTCCCTACTCCTCCAAGGTACGAATTAGGTTAATGAAATTATCAATTTTTTTCTCTTGCTACTTGTGTTTTATATGTGATATGATGCATTTCTAGACAGTGTGCCAATAATGTGGTTTAGACTAATGTAAGTGTGTGCGCACTATATTTATTTGGGAAAATTGCAGCATTGGTCGTCAATGTAGTTATGCAATCAGTCCCCCCACAATTGAAAATAAATCTATATCACATGGAAATGTTCCCTACTAATTTCTGGGCACCATTTCTAAGCTAGGAAGCAAAATCTAGCTTCAGAAATTTGGATCCTAGAGAGTTACATGACAATGCAACGGGAATTTGGTCAAATTGTGTCTTTCAAGATAATGAAAGGTCGAGAATACGAACTGCTACTTGGGTAATAGTATGGGGACCAATAGTGCAATTTTCCCTATTTAACATGAAGTGTTTTCTAAGCAGTCTGCTAAGTGATAAATAACCAATATCTAGTGACGTTGCCCTTCTTTTCTGAGGACAACTATAAATTACCATTTTTGTTTCCTTGAACAGGAAATTATGTACAAGAAACTTCTCTATGCCATAAACGAAGGGCAAGGATCTTTTGATTTGTCTTGAGTCTTCGAACTAACTGGATGGATTTTCGTTTTAGTATATTAGAAGCCTTACCTTCCAAGTTAACCGACAAAATGGCTAAGGATTCTCTGCACTGCCCTTCTTAACTTGTGACACTGTAAAGGTCAGTCCTCGCCTCAAGATAGAAGTTGGTAGTTAGATTCTTCTATTGTCAAAGCATTTTCCACAATTTGCGAGTATTGATAGACAAAAAAATTTGTAATATCATTTTATCAGGGTTTTGCTTATAAATTTGATGGTGGGGTTTTCCTTCAGTTTGATGGGTTGTCATATATTCTTCAAAGCACTTATGAGGAGGGATTTTTTGGTGCTCTAGTGCTGGTGCTTGTAAATGAGCACGATGACTCGTGTTCCGTTCTTTCCCTATCGGATTAACTTTTTGTTAGTAGATATGTATACCTATTAGGGCGTTTTGCCTGTTTCCTTTGATAGCTTTATGTTTGGATGTTGGTCATTAGACATTTTACGATTATGTCATTAATGAATCAGGCATTGATAGTAACACACGAACAATTGATTGTGCGTGAAATCACCAGTGACTTCTCGACTTCTCTTATACTCGAGAGTTCACCTATCTATATAGGGTTGTCCATCACGTGCAGTTTTCTATATTCTCAAAGGCAAGTAAGCCATTGCGCACCATGAATTCACTGAAACTGTGGTAGGGATTAAAAACAGTTGCGCAACTTATACTGAAGTTTTAATGTCCGCCACTGAATTATATTTTGTTTTTAAGTGGGTATTGGAGTTTTTCTTAAAACTTAGTTTCTTGTAGGAGTGGGCAATGGGTCGGGTCGGGCTGATTTTTACCCAAACCCAGCCTGACCTGAATTTACCGGTTTTGGACTATTTCCTAAACCAAACCGCCCCGACCCAACCCGAACCCCGAGTCAGTTCTGGCCAGTTCGGCAATTATTATTATTATTATTTTTCCTTTTTCGATTAGTTTCAAACTACCAACTGAATCCTTATTTGCCTGAAATAAAATCAGAACAAGTTTAATATTTTTTTCTTCATGTTGATGATAGTTTGTCATTTCATATATCATGGTATCGGAAAAAATTTAACCGAAACAAGATAATTAAATTAAATTAAAAACATGCTAACTAAACTAAACAAAGTCAATATAACCATTAAGCATGAAAAGAAAATTTAAATACTATCCAACAAATAAAAATATTACAGTAATCCAAATTCAATAAATAAGAAAATAAAAATGCTACAATCAAACACAGCAGAAGTATCACTGCCTTTAACCTGGATGAGATTAACTCTGGATGGCCTTTGGTGAAGCAAATATCTTCAGCTTCGGAACCAAACTCAGCAGAAGTATCACTGCCTTTAACCTGTGTCAACAACCAAATAAACTCAAGATTTTCTTAAGGTGTGTTTGATGGATATTATTTTGGAAGAATGTTTTGAAATAGTAGATTGATGGAGAATGTGTAGCTGAAAAAGAAGGAAAAATTATTGATGTGATGGAAAATATTATTTTATTGAAAAATGTGTGATTGAAAATGAAGAGAAAAATGAGAATGAAAATTTTAATGTGTGTCAAACATAGGCATAAATATAACATACCATTCAAAATGACACACAGGATGTACCATTGGGTAGTGTGGTTTAGCATAAACGACCTTCCCCTCACTGTTGAGAATTTTAATAACCTGCCTGGCACGTAGTGCTTCACAATTGAGTACCATCTGCACCATGATGTCCAGCAATTAGTTTTTTTCATAAATAAAAACACTAAACCGCAACTGCTGACTAGGAAAATACATGTAATGCATTCATTTTTTTATATTAAATAGTAAATGCTTTTCGCAGGCTGATTAAGGACCTTTAGAATCTCTGGATTCTTCCATGATCCTTTATCAGAGTGCAGGCAACCCCTTTGATCTGCACAGGTACACATTCCTCCCAAGAATTCTGGCAACATGCTGCATTAGCCCAAACAAATTCTGAGTCAAACAGAATTCAACAGTAATGTCATCATAAGCAAGATGATGAATATCATCTCTGATAAGAATGATTTCAATCCCATTTACCTGGAATCTGTTATTTCAAGCGACTTATTCTGGTATTTGTTTCCAAGAACCTTTGATAAATTTAAGACAAAAAAAAAAGAGATTCAGTAATTACAGTCAGTCGCTTGAGTAGGACAACAATGCTTCCAAACGACTAAAGGAAGAATATTGACATACATGAATTTTCGTAGTGGTTCTGGGATCTAAGAAGCTCTTTACAGTATTCCACAGTAGTCTAAAGCCTGGACCAGCATTAATGGTATAAAATATATCACTACCCACGACTTTGCAAAGACATGAATTTCAAGAACCACAATTCAACATTTCAGCTGCAAAACTACAAGATACACTGCCTCAAATGAAAATAGAGAGAAACCATTGACTGATCTTCTTTGTTGCCCTTCTAATCCCCCTCCACCAAAAAAGAGAAACATACAGAAATAAAGAAGAAAGATAAGACGTCTAAGTCTAGGTATGCCGAAGGAGTAAGACTGCAAGGCAGGAAAACATTCATGTTTGTGAATGGTCTACACTGGGAGCAAATGGGTCTGTTAGGGGCAGCCATCGAGTGATGCACAGCCCAATTCTGAAAGATATTGCAGCAGCTAAAAACAGGAGTTAGCACAGGTGAGAATGCATTAGTGTAGCTTGATTTGTACTCCGAACACAACTTATATGTTGGTAGTTTGGACCATTTTTATGGACTTTTGAAACAAATTCAAGTAGCTCTGAGATGGATACATGAGCAAGGAGTGAGTCCCATAGTGAAGAGTCAACAATGATAGAATGAAAGAAAACCTTCAAATATTTGATTGGAAGCTCAGTGATGAAGAAGTTAGTCAAATCCAACAGATCCCTCAGGCGGCCAAAGGCCTCACAGGTGAGCACTTTGTTTTTCCAGAGGGGTAGTACAAATCCCTGGAAGAACTTTAGAACGGGGAAATATGAATTTCATTTTCGCAACAAATTTATTGATCTAGTTGTAGTATACACTAATTGATTGGGAACCAATAGTAAAACATGGATCAAAATTCAACTGCTAAAAAATATTTCGCATTTAAAAAAATTTGCATCCTTGATATGTTATCGCCAGTCTTACCATGTGACTTTTATGTAGGAAAAATTAGTTGCACATACAGATTGATTAAACCAACAAGCATAAGAAACACAAAACCAACCACAACCCATTTTAATTCACATCCCCAAACCCTCATATTCAATCCAAAAAGGCTCGATCAATTACCTTAATTCTGATGAATGGTTGGCGAAGTTCTTCAGGTCACCAGCTTCGCGAAACACCTGCTACTCAGGGGGCGGACCCACATGGGGTCATGTGGGGTCAAATGACCCCACATTTTTTTTTTAGTTTTCCTCTTTTGAGTTTTTTTTTTTTTTTTTTNTTTTTTTTTACCTAAACATTTTTGAAATCTCATTTTTTACCCCACAAGAAAAATGGTCTCGATCCGCCCCTGCTGCTCCTATATCCGGATTCTTCAGTAGCTTCGAAATCTCCCCCTTATACGAAAGATCAATGGCCGCAGAGTAGGAGGTTTGGTTTTGAAGCAGAGAAGATTTCACGTTTTACAGGGATATGGTTTTTAATATTGGGTTGGGTTAGTTTAGGTGGGTTTAAACCTGAACCGACCCGATCCAAATAATTTATACTTGTTTAATATCCGATCCAACCTGTTTTTATTCTATACCGACCCAACCCGACCCGATTTGTGTTGGGTTTGCGTTTTATGGGCCCCGCCCTAGTTACTTGTTTGAAATTTGTTGTTTTTCCCTTTAATGGAACATTCTTTGTGAACAAAATTATGTTTTGTTCTAAAAAAACTAACGTATGTTAATCAAGTGACCCAATTTAATCGAAATCAAACTTTAGTGATTATTTTGAAACAGAATGAAGTTCAGTGTTTTTCTTTTGAATTATTCCGTAATATATACTAATATAATATCATTTTTCTTTTAGGGATGTAATTCTTGAAATTAAATTCTTTGAAGGCTCTTTTATTCGAAATAAAATGTTGATGGATCTAATCGGCATTAAGTGATCGAATATCTTAAATATAAGGATATGTGTTCCATTTCGATTATCTGAATAGTAGTCATGTTTATGTTTCTGATTAATTATTTGAGCCACATTTAAAAAAAAAAAAAAAACGTTCTTGAATAGTGTTTTGATCCCATTTAAATCAAATATTTTTCAATAAAATAATATTATACGTAAACTCAAAATTTTGCCTTATTTTTTAACTAAACATTTCCCATCAATGCGCTATTCAAAAATGCATTTATTTGACAAAAATGGGGCTCAAATGAGATTTTTAAAAAATGGAATTTTCAATTACAAGTCAATCTTCGTCACTCTTTGTGCGACTCTATTGTAGGGTGTTGCGGATGGATCGGTTTGGATGAACAGAATAGCCTCTGAATATATATTTTCTACCAACGAATCCTTGATAGTCGCCGCACAAGAGTTACGATTTTTGGGCATAAGCATTCTGTTATGATATCAAATTTCTAAACAATGGAAGGATCGATATGCTCATGAATGTTTAAGAATGTCTATATGATATAAAAGATTGCAACTTAGGTTTTTTTCTTTAAATTATTGTGGACACACTCACTATTTAGTCGTCTTACCTGTCACCAAAACATTGTGAAGGATTCGATGAATGTCTTGAAAGGCATCATTGTGTGTCACGATGTATTTAGGGGCTCTTCTTCTATGGATAGGATACCGGAAGGAATAGGGCAATAGAATGGTTATCGAACTTGGACCTCAATAGCCTTTTTGGAGAGCAAAGCACTACGAGTATGAAGTGGAATTAATACAATGAATTCTAAAGCATCGAGCCTCTCTTGTTTGGAAGAATCGAAACACGTTGAAATGGTACCAACTATTCTTAATAATAGAAAGATTTGACGGAAATGTGTAAAATTGTCCCGGTTAAAAAGATATTCCAAAATAAATGAGCAATAGTTAGGAGAGGTGCGTCAACGGCGAATAGAAACAAGGCTATTAGATATCTCAGGAAATCCCGACTAGAACCACACATGCAAGTTTTCTTGTATGTGGCTCGTCCATTAGTTTTTTTTAATGGAGTTAAAAGAGATATGGTTAGTAGCCCAATTATAGAGTTATTTTACTTATGTAATTTAAATTAATGAGCGAATTTTCAGTTGATTCACTTGGCACAATTTTTTTGCTTAATTAATGGAAATATTGATTGGTTAACATGAAATATTACAAGAATTTTATTTATTTATTTTTGTGTGTGTTGTATCATTAGCAAAAACGTTTCTTGCTGGGGTAGAACTTTTGGAATGTGCTTTTTATAAAACTGAAAGAATAAAATATTGAAAAAGAAAAATATATGACTGATTTTACCTTAACGATTAAAATAATGAATTATCAAAAATTTCAAGTCACAAAATATTTTTCATTACTCACGTTAGATTATGTCCCTGTTTGATAGTGATTAAAATTAAAATTTTAATTTAAGTCAAAGTTAACAAGTAATTTTAATAGTATATTTTGTGAGATCCATAACTTTTTAACCATATATTTCATCAATTTTTTACTAAAATCTAGGGTTGGGCAAAATGTCCGAACCGAACCGAACCAACCGATTTTTCTTAAATGAAATACCCGAACGGGTATCCGAATCGAGAATCGAATGGTTTGGTTCGGTTCTCGGTTCTAAACCAAGAACCGAAGAATCGAATAAGAACCGAATTTTTTTTATTTTGGATAAATCAATTTATATTACTTTTTCTAAACAAATTAATATTTTTTTCTTACTAAATCTTATTAATCGAACAATTTAGAGTTTATTTATGTTTGTTAATTATGTTTTTTTCAATTTTTCTTGTATAGTTTCTTATTAGTTAGTATGAAAAGTNTATTAATATTAGTATCTACTTTCAACTGTATTTATGTAGTATTATTCTAAATGTTAAAAAATTTAATTATAGTATGGAACCGAACAAAATAGAACCGAACCGAACCGAACCCGAACGGTTCCAAAATTATATTTGAAACCGACGGTTCCATTTACTAAATACCTGAAAATTTCTGGAATCGAACAAAATCAAACCGAACCAACCCGCGCTCACCCCTATCAAAATCTACTAAAAGTTTGATTTTAACCTCACCATTCAAGGGTTGTATTTCTCATGCTTCCGCTTTCATTAATTCAGAAGATGAAGTTAAAAATAGAGTGTATATATTGAAAACTAAGATGAATTTAGGGAGTGTAATTGGTCGAGTCAAGTCGGCTTGATCCTCAATAAACCCGAGCTTGGCTCGTGTTCACAAACTCGATTCAATTTGATCATTTGACTCGAAACGCCATGAATTGAGTTGAGCCTAACTCTTCTTTAAAAGAAATTAGTAATAAATTAAGCTCGAAAACAAATCAATTCATGAGCCAGTTCGATTCATGACTCATCTTAATACGAACAAGCTATTAATGAATTGAGTCGGGACGAGCTTAACCAAGAGTTGACGGGCGTATTGATCCGTTTGCCACCCCTAAGAAGACTTGGTACTGTCATGAAAAGCAGCTACTACCCCTATAAACACTCTTTTGAACATATTTTTTAGTTGTAAGTGAAATTTCACCCACTGGAAAAAAACGCCAAATTCATCCCGGAAAATTCAAATCTCCCTCCAAAATTCCACCTAATGGAAACCCTAATTACACTACATACAACAATCAAAGCTAACACAGTAAAAAGAAAATCATTTTTCTCAAACCATGTCAAAATCGAAACATCAAGACGATTTGGATCTTCTCCTTTCGCTTCAGGATCGAGTTTTAGAAACGCCACCTGCTTCTCCTTCTTCCCATTCTCCAGGTACCCTTCAAACCCCCTTAAATACACACGCAAATGCTTGTTCTAATTAAATTAAGTTAATAAGTTGACATTTAATTCATGGGTTTTGTCAGATTTTGGTGGAATCGTGTAATTTCTATGCAAGCTTGTCAGTCTGATTTTATGACGTCAAATGTGTGTGTTTGTGCGCGTGCGTTGTATGGATTATTCAAGATTTTATTTTGTTGTGTTTTTAATGTAAATTGTAGATTTTGTGATGCTTACGGTTTATTTAGATGTTATTATAGACGTATTGTATGCATTTGGGGAACTGAGATTCTAAATTTGTTGGATTTATTTATATGACTTGGTTTAAATTTTTATGTGAATTCTATAGATTTGAATGCGGGATATTTATCGGATGATGGTTTGCCGAACCGAATCGGCCAGGGGGACATGTCTGTCTTTCGGGACGCGGTTCAAGATTGTCTTGACTATGATCCTGAAAGTGCCATGAAATCTCTCAAGTCCAAGCAGGACAAGAGATCCAATGATGCTGAGGTTGAGAAATTTTCAGGGCTGCGAATTCGGTACGTTCAGCTTCAGGTTTAGTAGAAAAATACTTGCTTGATGATAAAATTGTAACTTGTCCGGTAAGCCTTTTTGGGCAGAACTTGACATTACCAGTGACAAGCTTTTAACTCTCATCTTATCTAACACTAATCAGTCCCATGCAATATGCATTAAATTTTGCCTCTGCTTCATAAATTTCAATTGGTGATGGAAGATTGGGTCACTTGCTCTATGTTAACTTGAAATTTTCTTACACAAGCGTGCTTTTGGCAGATGGGCATAACAAAAGAGTGAATGGTAGTTAAATATTGCAAATTTGTTAGAGAATGCCTCAAATGCAATGGCATATCCAGTGTAACATTTCATCCAACTAAACTAAAATTTTATAACTTTGTCAATGAATTTTTGAACTATTAATTATTCAAGTCACGTTAATAAATTCAAATTACTGTATAGTTTTATTCAGTCTACAAAAATTGCTAATGTAAACATATATCTTAGCTAGGACAATGGACAACTCAAGTATTATTAAAGTACATACAAAGTGGCTCCACTGTTCTCAAAGGCATGTGATTTTATTTTATTCCATGGCTTGTAGCTTGCGATTGTTATCAAAGCATATGAATGCTTCTATGTGGCTGTCATCTTCTTTGTCCAAACCTTTCAATCTTTTCATAATTATTATAGTTCTCTGCTCCCTTCAGTAGAAAGTAAAAGGGCTGTAGAGCTTACCTTATTATTGGAGAAAGATATGGACCCTAATTTGGGTTCTTGCCGCAAGCCACTTTTGGATGTCATTGGACTGTTGACAACTAATATAACCTTTCTTCACTCAAGCTCGTGGCTCAATCTCTTATTTTATAATAAAACTAGTTTCCCTATTTTTAATAATAAGCTTACCACGTGCTAGTTTCCATCATCCTGTCCAGAGCAAATTGAATGAGACCAGGTAAGAAAAGGTTATCACTTTGCCAAGGAATGAAGCTTTGTGTCCTCTAGCTTAAAGTAGCAACAATTCAGGGTTGACTTGTTATTTCTTTAGCTGCTTTCAGTGGGTTATAATTTTTCTGGACTTGTATTCTTGATGTATTAACTAATCACATTTCAATTGGCACCCTGGCATTCCTTAAGAATTATCCAGGGGGATTCATACTGTTGGTGGAACCTATTTATATACTATTTTTGTTGTTTATTTTGTCTGGTACAGGAATCTGATGGTATCACCTATTGAACTCAGCAACCGTTTGTCAGATATAAGATTTGTTCGGTTACCTGCTTTAAAGTACGTAAAAAACACTTGAATAAGTACTCTAATAATTTCCTAGATGCAGTTGAATATAGTCATTGATGACATTCCTTTTGAGCTTTAGGAATTCTCTGACTGGAGATACTCTTTCTGGGTGTTGGGCCACAATTGGAGTTTTAACTGATAAGGGACAGCCTAGAACTAGTTCTGCAGGAAAGACTTTTGCTATTTGGAGATTGGGATGTTTGGATGAAAAGACTATTTCTATTTTCTTGTTTGGTGATGCTTATCAGAAAAACTGTGATGAGAAAGCTGGAACTGTGTTTGCTCTGTTCAATTGCAATGTCCGCAAGGATAACTCGGTATAATTTTTATTTTGTTGATTCATTTTCATGGGAATTCTTCAGATCTTAACTTCTCTATATATTTTTTCTTCAGGAAAATGGATTCTCGTTGAGTGTTTATTCAGCAATGCACATTTTAAAGATGGGTACTTCAGTGGATTATGGTATTTGTAAGGGTAAAAGGAAGGATGGAATGGCGTGCACGCTAGTTATCAACAAGTAATGCCATCTCCCATGCATCTTTCATGTATAATAAATTAGAGTAGTCCCCGGTCCATTACACCTTCTCGCGATATTTTCCCCGACGCTAATTCAGTTATTATGAATGGGCATATAACTATCTATTTTTTGTATTATTTAACCTCATAATTAAGAAATCTCTTTGCACCTGCAGGCGCCAAGGAATATATTGCAGCTACCATAAACAGGTAAACTCATATTACCCACTCTTGTCTTGCTTAAGTCATCGAAAGTTATACCTGAAAATGATCAATTTTTTGTCTTAACTATGATTTTTCTTTAAGAAAAAATCGGAGCAATATTCAGTTACAAGGACAGAACTAAAAGGAGGGTAGGTAATCCTGTTCAAGCCATTAAAAATGTTCCATGGTGATTTATTTTTCCCCATGACGATTCTATTGAACTTCATGTTTCAGGAACTTAAGGACAGCCTTTATAGACCGTTGCAAGTCACAGGGTATTTACGTTAATACTGCGAGTGATAGAACAAACTTACCAAAATCCTCAAAGGCTCCTGTGAAATTGTTGTCTGTTGAAGGATTAAGAAAGGCATTAAGGTTTGTTTGAAATATTTCGATTTTGTATGTGCTGTATTGTCGTATTTGCTGGAAAATAGAATCTAGACCGTTTCACTGTGTATTTTCTCTTATAACATTAATATTAGATAGCAGATATTTAGATCGAGCTAAATAGTTTAGAAGCATCCAACAGCATCTTACTAAGACCCTGTATTCTGGTTATACATAAGAATAATGTCTTTCTTGCTCTCTTTTCTACCTTAAGTAGCAATGTTTCATAAATTCTCTTTCTACGTTTTGAAAGCAACATTCTTGTGTTGGCTATGTGGAGTCTAATTATATGGTCCATTTATTCCCTCAACTGCAGAATCGGCTTAATTGTTTTCCTTATATAATAAATTTGGGGGGTGGGGGAGGAGTTCTATATTGGTGTGAGGAAACCTTCTAATCACCTTCATTATAGTGAAAAATCTGTAGCGGTGAGGGTGAACCATTAAAAATCTGTGCTCTTTGTTTCTGATTTCTTTCCATTTATCATTGTTCCTGGAGTTATGGATTAATGTTTAATTCTTAACGACTCGTATGCTACTGTTTCATCACTTGGATATATATGCTGAAGGATTCAGTTAGCTGAAAATGATATTACTATAAAATTTCATGGTGCAGCAATGCGAGCAAAGTGACCACTAATGTACACTCACAAGGAATACGATTTCTCACTGAAGTTGCAGGTTTGGCATGATTTCATTTGTCTACATTCGTCTCATGAATGGTCCTTCATATTGCTGTTAATAGATATATTGTTGGCAATTCACAGAGAAAACAGGTTCAAAACCAATAAAAGAAGCACCTAATGTTCCACCTCAACCCACGAGTAAAACAGACTGCCGGTGAGCGCAAACTTGTCTATTCATACATTCTACTTTCAACGTAACACGAACTTGTGTGTTCTCGTGCTGAAAATGCCTTGTTTAGGTCCTTGAGAAAAGATATGCACAGAAGTAGACCGAGCCAACAACCAGATTCCAAGAAAATAAAACTGGATCAGAGGCAGGCTCCAGTAGAGAAAGGCAAGCAGGTTGGTAAAAAGATGATTGAACTAGACTTGTTTAGCTCAGATGACGAGCTTTAGTGGAATGTGCCGTAAGGTCGATTGACAGTTTTAATGACGAAAAAGAAACTAAAATCTTGTCCATAGTATTATCCAGTTCCATCTGTCCTAGGAGTTATGTTCTTCATGGTTGACCCCTCATTTCCCTGAAGACATGATAACAATTCCGAAAATCTGGAAATGGCTAGGAACTGTATGATCCTTAAAGATGCAGATGTTTGAGAAATACGCTGTCGTAGTTGCTTTTAGTGAAGTTTTGGGTGCTCCGTTGGGCTGTAATAAATTCTACATGATGAGATGCCAACATGAATGAGAAGACATGCACATGGATTTATTTGCTCTTCTAACACATAATACATCCGATCCCATAATTTGATACTAATTTCCTAGTTTTCCCAGTAATCACATTGGCGTACCATGCCGACTTTTGCGGGGGCAAAGCTTGAATCATAATTAAGCATGTCAAACACACTTTTTATCTATAGGACTCACAATTTATTATCAACTTTTTAAAACAATAGTCAACGTTGTATTGCACATTATTATGAAATGGTTTATAAGTGTTATAATAATAATATTTGAATATATGTGAATATTAATTAATTTAGAATTAATATCAGAGAATATATATGTGATAATGAATGTTAAATTATTTATTTAATTTTCAATTAAGTGAAATTGAATGTTAATTAGCGTACATTGACGTGAATAATGAAATGTATTTTTGAATGTGAAATTTTAATTAATTTATAATTAAGATTAATAATACTGAAATGCATAAATGAAGATGAATATTAATTAAATGAATGTGAATGTTAATTAATTGAGAATTAATAATATGAAATTTATATATTAATGAAAGCTTTTAGGTGATATGAATTTATCAAATGTGTATGTACATTGATGGTAACTTAGAGTGTGTTTGTGATATATTCTTTTGAAAGAATGTATTATTAAATAGTAGATTGATGAAGAATGTATGGTTAAAAATGAAAGAAAAGTTATTGATGTGACGGAAAATATTATTTTATTGAAAAATGTGTGGTTGAAAATGAGTAGAAGAATGAAAATGAAAAAAATAATGTGTAACAAACATGGCCTTAATGATTAAATAAATTAAACATATATTGAAAAATGAAAAGTAAGGTATTATTGAAATAATTAAATCATATTAGGGTTAGAATTGTCTAAAAAATGATTCTCACTTGATGTGATATTTAATATATTATAGATATATTTTTTCAGACTTGTTGCTTAAGTTCTAATTTAAGCACTCCCAAACAAGTAACAAGTCATAGCAATATTGAAAAAAGAAGTGATAAATAAGAATTATTTTAGGCAAGAATTAGTTGAAGTTGCTTGTCATGAAAGGAACAACAATAGATCGACTAAGACGGTCGATATATATCTTTGTTTTAGTTACATCATAACGAGTTCGATTAAGTTCTCGTGGTGTTTAATTCGAACATTTTTACTTACATGAAAATTATTTAACCTTGTCGAATTTATTTTGAGTATACACGTTTCACAACATTTAGATATATTTCTTGAAAATAAGTGTACTTATAATTTTTCAAGGGTAGTTAGTACATAACATCTCCCATTTTATTGTTATTGCGAGAAACGTTTTTACCTTTCATTTTTTGGTATTTTCACCCTTATTTTCACATTTCATTACGCAAAATGTTATTTTCATCCATTTTCTCAATTAAAAATTGTGAAATAATGAATATACAATTTTCTTTAAATAAAACAAAAGGAAAAAGAAAAAATTAATTGCAATCATAGTCTCAAATTTTTTTGAAAAGCACAAATAGGTTTCAAATACATTATGAAAAGGGTAATTAGCACATAATGTTTATACCTTTTACTATTATTGCAAAAAAAATTCATATCTTTTATTTTTTTGGTATTTTCATTCTTAATTATACATTTGATTGCGCAAACTATCATTTTTATCTATTTTAATCCAATTTTTCAATAAAATGCTATGAAATGATGAATATGTCATCATATTTAAATTAAAAAAAAAAATTAAATAATTAATTGTAACCATAGTCCCAATTTTTTTTAAAAAAAGTGCAAATGAGTCCCCAATAAATTTATTTAAAAAAGGAAAGTAAAAAGTGCAAATGAGTCTTAAACATATTATTAAATAATTATAAATCAAGAAAATATATTTTTTTATTTAAAAAAATAAGGGTATAGATATTTTTCGCAATAACGGTGAAATATATGAAAATTATGTACTAATTATCCTTTTAATAACTTATTTGGGGTTTATTTACGCTTTTTAAAAAAAATTCTGACTATAGTTGCAATTATTTTTTTCTTTTTCTTTTTTCTTTTATTTAAAAAGAATAGTATATTTGTTAGTTCATAATTTTTAAATTGAGAAAATAGACTACAATGACCTTTTGAGCAATGAAATGTGAAAATAAGAGTGAAAATGTTAAAAAATGAAAAGTAAGACGTTTTCCACAATAACAAAGAAGGGTGAGAACGCTACGTTCTAAATTGCTAATTACCCATTTTAAAAATAATAACTAACTTTAATTTACTATTTAAGATTGAAACTTGATGGAGTTGTTGTGCACTCAAGTTTAACGTAAATTGATGTAGCGTCTCTTTCTAATGACGTAATACTCAATTATTTATGATATAATATAAACTTATTTATTAAGTTAAGAATAGGTGTAAGTAATCAACAAATTAGTAATATGTAGCCCCGCCCACAACATATTGCTTTTAAACGATGTCGTAAGATTCCCCCAACCTTTTTGTTTGTGTTTTCTCATTTTTGCGTCCAAAATAAGT